GGGGGGGAAGGTACACTTACTAGGGTCTGAACTGAGCCCATGAAGGGACAATGAAACATGCGAGCAAGGACAAAGTGCGCATGCTCTAAGTGGGGACCCCACCGAATTGTGCGATTGGCAAAACGATCGATGCCGTGCTTCATCCACGTCGCCGTCCTTCATCCACGTCGCCGTGCTTCATCCACGTCGCGGTCCTTCATCCACGTCGCGGTCCTTCATGTAGTAATTGGTGACGTAATCATCGATGTCATGGCGGGTGCAGCGAACGCCCGGAATGTGTGTGGAGCGTGTGCATACCGGTCGTTCGCGCAAGTTTTCATGTTGGGTAGGGCCTTGTTGTTCGGCTCCTTGTGCCTGGGAGGTCCGTCGGGTGGGCACAGCGTGACGTTTCATTCAGTGGCTGCGAGTGGTGGTCCAATTTCGAAGAGTTTTGGACAGGGGCAAACGAACGACCCATTAAAGCTGGTACCGCACTTCAATTGGGGTGCTCAGATTCTAAGCGAGTGCGAGAAGCATGGCTACTCAGCCGACTTGGATAATTTCCCCTTTGATGAAGACCGTCGGTGCATTGATGACCCTTGGATTGCCAAATGTTATCTGGCTCGACAACTTAGCCAGACCGTACAAACTTGTACAGATCTATTCAGCCAACATGGCAACCTCTGCCAAGTCTGGCCGGATGCTCTTGCTAATTACTGCTGTGCCACTTCACAAACATACTCACAAAGCTGCAACGCCAATCAACTTACTGGAGCAGCACATGTCCCCCCATACGACAAACAAATTGTCCAACTGTACCTACCTCGCAGCGTCCCCACTCGCAACCTGCAACAGACTTCGGACATGACTTCGTACCGGGACCTTAGACAACGGAAACAATCAACGCGGTCCAAGACAGGCTATGAAGAAACGCTGAGGGGACCACGCTCCGGTCTGTCCGTGAAGGTCGACTTGGACATGGGAGCGCGGACGGACATGGGAGCGCAGACGGACATGGGAGCGCAGACGGACATGGAAGCGCGGACGGAGGAAGTGATTTCGATACCGAGCGAAGAAAGCCTCTTCGCGTTGGAAGAGCATTTGCTAGCGAACGACGGGGCACTAGCCTGGCAAGACGGCCGGTCTTGGGCGGACTTACTGCGTCGGCAGGGCCTGGACTCGAACCTCTCCATGGGAAACCCGTCTGGTTGGGAATCCCAATCTGGTTGGGAATCCCAATCTGGTTGGGAGTTCCAGTCGTGGGACGACGAGTCGGAGTGGTGGAATGAGGAGTCGGAGTCGTGGGCCGTGCAGTCTTTGGCCTCCTCGGAGTCGAGGAGCGACTCGGCGGGGGCACTGTCTTCGTCGCAGTCGGACCGCTTAACGACCAACTTGGTGATTGTGTATCCGAGTCGGTTGCAGGTGTGTCCCTTAGTGGTATCGACTTGGAAGTCGATGCGACTGATGGCGAGTTTGTACGACCTCGAGAGCATGCTCCCAAGTCGGCAATGGCTAGAGCGCGACACAGCGAAACGTTTCATCGACCAATTCGGCGCGCAAATCCCACTGGTTCTCGATGGTGCGCGCTGGCTCGCTCGGGAACCCCAAACCCGATCCCAAGACCAAGTCAGAACCGAAGACCAAGTCAGAACCGAAGACCAAGATCGGGTTCAAGACTCAGCCACAAGTTCAACATCAGCCACAAGTTCGACGTCGAGTACAGAGTGTGAAGGAGGGTTTGGTCGGTTCAGTCGCGAAGTATCAGGTTTAGCGATCCAGTATGTTTCAGGCGAATTGACGATTGAGGAAACCAAGACGCAATTAGTTCAAGTCCTGGATCGCAACTTCCGCGTATTGAATGGTGACCGAGCGCGATTAAATCCTCAGCAGTTACGACAGACATTACGTTACACTGGTTTCATATCGGATGCATTCCAAATCGCACCCGGATGTTGGCAAAACCACCTACTCGCTACGGCAGCTCGAGACCGCTCGAATCGTCTAGAAGTGTCGCAAGTTGTACCGCGTATTGTCGACATGCTGAACTACCTTGAAGACAAAATCGCAAACTGCGGAAACTGTCTTGACAAAGTGTGGCAAGAAGTCGAACGAATCGCGGCCACAAAATCCTCACCAGGACAGCGACGGGATGAAGAGCACAAGGCTTCTGATGCAAGTCAATCATCTGAAGGTCAGTGGTCTGACCAGGGTCAGTGGTCTGAGCAGGGTCAGTGGTCTGAGCAGTTTTCTGACCCATGGTCTGCTGAGCATTCGTCCGACTCCCCGCCGTCGTCGGTGGTAAGTGATTGGGTTTTAGAAAACGTGCGATGGACGCGCGTTCAGCTGGAACATCTGCAGATTGACCCGAGTCGGACCTGGGGCGACATCATGGTGACACTTGTCAACGGCGCAATATTGCCTTTCACAAACCAACGTGAAGGTGAAGAAAATGTATACGGAGATATGGCGTATAAGTTCCTTCTAGCACTCACCACAGACGTGTCCGAACCAGTACCCAGACTCGGTCTAGAAGTGCACAAGTTTATCCGTAACGACCTTGGTTGCACTCGTAAACCCCATCGCAGATTGCAAGCAGGCGAGGAGGAGCTGGAGGACGTCATGGGCGACACAAAAGCGGGGATGGAAGAGACGGTAGAGGACACCGTCAATGACTATCAGCTCTTCGATGTCGAAATGCGTATGGCGGACTCGTCTGCCGTGGAAGGGAATGTGGTCGGAGACGAAAGGTGGGAGATGGAGGAACGGGAAGAGAGGTCATTACAAACCGACGTGCCGCGTATGTTGCGGCGGAAGGGACCGTTCACGATTGAGCGTGAGATTCAATTGCTGGAAAGCGGCGCAGAGGCGGAGACAAAACCACGAATGAGAGCCCCTGAGCCGGACGCGGAGGAGGGTGCCGACCTGCGCTTCTTGCCCCGCAAGGCGTTGTTGGGTCGCTTCCAAGACATGTATGATGTCGCACAAATGCGCGAAGATCTTCGCAACAAACGCGCCGAGAAAAACATCGCAACAGAGCAAGCGACCGCACCCGTGACGGGACCTGTGACGGGTCCGGTGACGGGACCGGTGACGGGACCGGTGACGGGACCGGTGACGGGTGGGCGGGCACTAGCGTTGCGGATGGTGGAAGACACCGACTCCGTCGATGGTGGTCCCCTTTCCCCTGGTCTTGAGAAGTATGGGGACATTGCATCTGATAACCACCAAGACCTGGAGTATGAGCCGTTGGACCTATCACCTGCGAGCGAAACGGGGGCGACGGCGCGAGAGATGGCACCAGCTGTTGGGGCACCTGGACCGTTGGGAGCGGTGGGTCGTGTGCCTCCATCACACAGTGCGCCAGAGCGTGTATGGCGTGATGAGGATCCGAGTGCTGGTGTATGGCCGGTTGGTTTTCCGATAGAAGGAATCAATTTGGTTCTGCCAGTGGCGGTAGATAACCTGGGTTTATCGCCAGGGTTTGTACGAGCGGAGATGAATGGTACGAGCGTGTCTGGATTATCAGGTAATAGTTCACCGTATGCACTTGCGCAGAGTGAACACCCATTACAGACAAGGACAAGACCTTTGGTACCTGTTACGGGACCGGGTGCCGAAGTTCAGGGTTTTCAATGTGCTGACCGACTTACGTTTTTCTTCTCCGACTTTGTCGGCCGTTGGCTCGCACGCGCCAATTGTTACGACCTACTTGCGGCGTTCGGATGTAAAGGACAACGTGCAGGAGCACTCCTTCCTTTGCCCCTTGCACTGCATGCATGTCCACACACGTGGATACGTGGCTGCAGTACACGAGTCACCTCTGGTGAAATATTCCGTCAACTCAATCAAGCAAGCAACTCTTCAACGGCGGACGGAGATGACTTGCTTTTCGAAAAACGCGACTTAGCAGAAATCGTCGGAGCCAGTCCTGATGGACATTCCGTGAACACGCAGCTAGACCCGTTGGTAGCACACTCGGCTGCAGCACAGAGCATTGCACTCCTCGCAAAACGGCTGCCCAAGTCCGCTGCTTATTCACCCTTACGAGAGTGTTTGCGTTCTGCCACTCGTAGTGCACAAGAACTACCCGAACTGCAAAGCAGCCTCAAGGGTCAAGGTATGTTGCCCCACGAAGACTGGGATGACGATTTCACTGAACCGTTCAACACACTTGGAACGTCGGCGCTCTTCGAAACGGAGCCTGTGCCAGATTCGGCGGAGCTGGAAGGCCATGGCCTACCCCAGGAGGTCTTTCCAGAAAAATTGCCGCCAACTTTGGTTCAAGACCCGCCAGCTCAAGATCCGTCGTCACTGGTTCAAGACCCGGCGACGCCAGACCAGGTGCAATATTCACTGACTCATGAAGCATTTAAAAGTCCCTTCGACCTACTCTACCAAGAGCTCCAAACTATCGCGAGAACGGCATACCCGGAGCAACTAAGCGCCCAAACCAGTCACGCCCAATCCGAGATACCCCTGACAGCTTTCACCTTAGTCATCCTTTTTTATTCCGGCCTTCTCGATGGCACGACACACCAAAGATAAACGGTACACATCGACAACACACTCACACATGTGTCATCACATCACACACATGTGTGTCATCACATCACACACATGTGTGTCATCACATCACACACATGTGTAATCACATCACATCACACACATGTGTGTCATGGTCAGAGATGTGTATTCACGACGAGCGAAGGACAGCGAATTTCGGGCGCGGTCCGCTTACAAGTTAATCCAGATCGACAATGAGTTTCGTTTGTTTACTTCTGAGGTGGAGCGAGTGATTGATTTATGTGCGGCCCCCGGTAGTTGGAGTCAGGTGATAGCGGCGAAGTTAGGTCCGCCTTCGGGACCTGTAGGTCCCGGGCCCGATTCCAGCTCCGCCCCGAATTCGGGACCGAGTCCCATATTGGTTGCGGTTGACTTACAGGAAATGGCTCCTATTCGGGGTGTACATTGTCTACAGGGCGACATCACAAGTCCTGCCACACTGACCCGAATCGACACACTGTTAGGACATTGTCCCGCAGATCTCGTGGTCTGCGATGGTGCGCCCGATGTAACTGGCAGTCATGTCATCGATGAACATCTCCAACTTGACCTACTATATGCAGCCGTACGAGTCTGTCTTGTCGAACTCAAACCTGGAGGCAACTTCGTTACCAAATTCTTCAAAGACAAGCATGCACATATCTTCGTCGAAGTACTCACACTATTCTTTCAAGAAGTGTACACTCATAAACCTCCCAGCAGCAGAGACCAGTCAATGGAAGCCTTCGCCATTTGTAAACATCTCAGGTAAGGGGGAGGGGAGGGGGAGGGGAGGGAGCAGAATGGTGAATTGGACAGAATGGGGAATTGGAGGGTGGTGACAAAAATGATACTACTTCCTTTCAGAGTACCCGACGACTTCCAGGTGCCCATTGACGCGCCGCTCGCCTGCTTTTTAGACTATGTCAGCAGCAAGCTTTTATAGACGCATTGAGTGGCGTGTTTTTCCCGACCGTCCAATAGCGCGTCGACAATCACAGCGTGCTTAGCTACGCCTGACTTCTAGCGCAGCGGTATCGTCAGCCTCCGTATCTGGGGTCCTACTTCTACCAGTGGGTCTTAGTGTGTCCTATCTGGTGTCCTAGTGTGTTCTATCTGGGGTCCTATTTGGGGTCTTAGTGTGTCCTATCTGGTGTCCTATCCGGGGTCCTAGAGTGTTTAATTACCTTGTTTGGGTATGTAGTTTAGGTGCAAGTTCCTTTTGTATGATTGGTAGAATAACACTGAGTACATGAGAGGTAAGAAGTCGTCCACCAGTAATGAGTGTGAATAGATTGCCAGTGTACCAAGCGGCACCCATGACAAGTGCGGCAGTTAAGCCGAGCATGAAGATGATGGGTTGTCGAATAACGAACATAATTTCATTCCAACCAAGAAGGATACAGAGCAGCCACATCCACCAAGATTGTTTTGTCATTTGTCCACCTGTTGCCTGTATGAATTGTGCTTCTTGACATGCCTTGAGCATGAATTTCTCAGAGGTTGATAATGACTCGGACTGTTTAATTCCGAACAATAATGGTTGTTGAGATAGCTCGAGAAGGCGTGGGTCTACGAACTCATCATGAACTAGAGCATGAAGATCGACTTTGTATTCGCAAATGATAGGGAATAATGCAAGTGCTTTACTCTTGGCTTCACGATACAACCTCTTAATATCATCTGGTTTTGTTGTCGCCCAATAGTTCGGCACACCATCTTCATCTGTCTCAAAGAAACGTTTAAAGCGTTTATATACTTGGTCGCAAATACGGTCACTACGTCTCGCAAAACTTTCACGCAAACATTCATACAATACCATATTGAAACGCATCCTCTCATCAGATTCTGTTGTCATGAAAGGTGTACTAGCACGTGTCATAGTGCTTTCGACAATTTCGCGACTAGGTTCTTCACATTTGTCCGTGCCGTGATTCGAACCCACGATGCCTTGAAGCGCCACACCGTATTGAGGATATAAACGAGTAGAATTATCCAGCAATATCTTCGTCGCCTCATTCCAATAATTATTCAAGTCAGGCTCCAACTGCAACATCTCAATCTGTTCACGAATACCCTGTACTGGTTCTTCAAGTATATTTTTGAATGATTGTAATTCGCTCTCTTTAAACTTTGTTCTCATCTCGATCAAATTCTCTTTCAACAATGACATTTGTAAATCGCTCGTAAATTCATGATTCAACTTGACATCATTTTCACCCAACGATACAGAAAAGTTGATGCTAGATGACTTACATTTTTTTGCAAAATCATCCAATGTCATATCCATCCAATTAGAAAGATACTTGATATCCAATTGCCTCCAAAATTCAAATATATCTGATCCATCATCCAACAATCGTGAGGACTTATAAGGATCTTTACGACCTAATTTTTCAAGATATTTGGCAGCTTCTTTCAAACATTTTTGTCGTTCCATATTGAGTGAAGTATCGTAAATTTTTTGAAGTTCATAATAGCAATCATCTAATAGTTCATTAAGTTTTTTATTGTATACATTAGTATCATATCTCCAAGCATCTTTATGATAATCATGAATGACAAATGATAATAAATTTTGTATTATCGTGTTCGTGTTATCATTTATAGTAAGGTTATCACCCACAGTAAGGTTATCCTTATTCTTGTCGTGATCAAAGATGACATCATAGTCATGTTGTGCTAGACCATCTTTCATTTTCATGAAAGCTCTAATTTTAATTTCATCACAACGATATATTGCAACCATTTCTTTTTGTGAAGGTATATCTAATTGATCGCTATTCATGATAGTATTCCATATACTTTCACAATACATTGGAAAACCATCAGCAGGTATAGTTCTAGTATAATGTTTAGGTCTTAATTTATTAAGCCAATTGAGTTTAAGATTTTTAACTTCTATATCAAAGTTATTTTTATCATCAACTTTACTTGGTAATCCAATGACGCTGAATTTAAAGAAATCATCAGCAGTACTATTTTGAAGTGGTAATGGTTTCTTAATACCATCCCATATATCAACAACATCTTGTAATAATAATCTTTCTAATTTATGAATTGGTGTTAATGATGATGAATGATCACGTATAATAAAGATCATATGTGTTCTAGTATGATTATCCATTCTTGAATCCATTCTTGAATCCATTTTTGAAGAATCATTAGTATGAAATAATTCTAACATGACAGCTAATACTGTCTTTAATAAACCATAGTTACTTGCTGTGTAACGACCTATATCATGATACCACATATTTACTATTACAGCATCAGCTACTGCTAAACTGAATAGTGAAGCACGATGCTCAAATGTCAGTCTATCCTCACCTCGCTCCTTACTGTCTGTACCTTCAACATCAATCACCAATGTTGAAGACTCAATATCACGACTACACCATACACCACGAGTCGTCTGACCACGACCACACATCGAATCCATCTCCGGAAACTTTGTACCAAATAACGCATTCAATAACGTACTCTTCCCACTACTCTGACAACCTAATACCGTCACCACATTATACTCCAATCCACAATCCAACAAACCCAACCCGTCAAACATCGTCTTGAAATCACTGTGGAACACACCATCAAAGTCCACCACCTCAACCAAACTTCGACTCTACATAGCATTGCACAATAATCATACTATACAATAATCATACTATACAGTAATCATGCTATACACTCCCCACCAGACCCCGCCCGCTTACGACTTCCGACATGCTCCGAATTTTTCTAATGAAATTGATCGTCACGGCGACCACCTTACTCTCGGTCCTGGGCTCCGCCGACGAGACGAACCATACCTGGACACCCCCGGACTTTTTCACACCTGGCGAGTATCAACTCTTCGGTTTCGCCAACGCAGCCGGACCGATCCCTCGATCTAAGTGACGACCACGCCCGCCCTAGTACCGCCACGCCACGCCCGCCCTAGTACCGCCACGCCCGCCCTAGTACCGCCACGGATGTGACGCACATGTAGTGTGTGAATAAACACAAATGTTAAGACACACTTGTGTTGTAGTGTTCGACGGAAGTTTGAATTTGTTTGTGAGGACTACTTTAGTATGACAGTATGTGGTTCATGTAACTGTCGATGTTTTGGAATGATAACATCATCGGATTCTCTAGTTTGTGGAAGTGACTTTGTTACGGATTGTCTAAAAATATTTTCGGAGTGTGCACTGTTATTGGATCCGGGTATATCATCACTTTGGGTCGAAGGTAATCTAAGTGTTCTGTATAATGGTTCTGCTAGGCCATGTGTGAATCATGTGATGGAAATAGAAGCTCATGAATATTGGATGCCAGTAATAGATGAGTTAAATGGTTATAGCTTTACATTGGCGCCTAGTGAGTTATTATATACGGGCAATATGTCGGATACTAGACTTACTTTAGTATTATCTGAGATGCCATTTTATGATGGTTCGACTGCAACCTTAGTTGAAAATGATACGTATGTTCAATTGCAAGTCGGTGCCAAGTACTCTTTTGCTGGAGATTATATCGGACATGCTGCACATGGCAACCCTCTCATTTGGGACAGTACAGGACGCGGTGCTGTCAGTCGTAGACACCCTTGCTTCACTACACCACCCACCATACCTATCGCCTGCCAATTCAACGAACTCACTGCATCATCCAGACTCACTCTCGATTGCGCCTGGACTCCGGTCTTCGACGCACTCTCCTTCATCATTCCAGGACAACCGCTTCAAATCAACCTAAACATCAACATGCCCAATCAACTCGATGGCTACAATCTACCACCCTTGCTCCCCCCACTAAAAAACATCGAACTACGCAACTACCATAAGGTACTCTGGAGACCTAATAGTCACCAATTCAGAGACGGTATCAATTTCCCCGTCTGCGCACACGAAAGTAACTCACACTGACTCACACACTCACCGACTCACACACTCACCGACTCACACACTCACCAACTTACACACTCACCGACTCACACACTCACCGACTCACACACTCACCGACTCACACACTCACCGACTCACACACTCACCGACTCACACACTCACCGACTCACCCAGCTGTCCCCCCCCGTAGAGGGCACAACCGACCCGTACCTGGCCGCAAGTTTCGCCGATCCTGCCATTGGACGAGCCATCATGGGCAACAGCTGGACACATGTGAGTAGTGAGATTGAGTGCTTCGAACAGGGCGGGAGACTTATGGATGAAAACGAATTCAAAATGCTCTTCGGCAATTCAACCCACTCCGGTTGCCTCCGAAAAAATCAACGCCGCATCGCCTACACCCATCGGCCCAATAAGCATGCACCCATCGAGCCAAGTAATAATACCTGTCACTAATATCTGCCACATTGCAGGCCCTAACTGTTGACCAGGTCATGCCGTGAAGTGCTAACTACATAGCTGTTGTTGCTTAGACATGGGAACAAGCTTCAGTCGGGAACGGGCTGCAGCGGGAACCAGCTCCTCAAAATGAGCTGCAGGTGAGTTAGAACGATAAAATCAAGGGGTGGCGCATAGAGTGGGTATTCCCTCTCATTGAGCACTCAGTCCCAGTGGCAGGTCATGACCGGGCCCTAATCCTGACCCCTGCCCTGTGTCCTCGTCCCTGGTCCTGGCTAGAGGTCTGCGGCGGGCGGAGGGCTTCTGGGGGGACTCCGGAGAGGCGATGCACTACGGGCTGGAGGTGGGGAGCGAGACCGGGAGCGCGGGGGTGGAGAGCGGGATCGTCGCGGGGGTGAGCGTGAGCGGTCACGTTTGTAGGGGCTGCGTTCGTCGTGTGTGCGTTCATCACGGCCGTTGCGTTCGTCTCGGCTGCTGCGTTCATCGCGAGGTCGATCTTCCCGACGGCGACGACGTTCGAAGGAATCGGTCGAGTATCGACGAGAGCGGGCATAAGGCGAACCCGTGCGTCGAGGCGAGTAACGTCGCGGGGAGTAGGCACGACCACCACGACCACCGTAGCCGCGTTCAGGTGAGTATCCACGTTTCCGTTTGAGACCTGGCGAAGGTGAACGCCTCCTCATGGGTAGCGGACCGGTGTACTGGTCGGGAAGATAAACCGCAATCGAAGCAGACTGTTCCAAATGAGTGTGCAACGTGGACCCATTCAGCAAGGTCACGGCTTCCTGGGTACTTTCACGATCACGGTACTCCACAACTCCAACCTGTGAAATGTAGCATGGCGACAGGTGGGACGTGCGATAGGTGGGACGTGCGTGCGATGGGTAGTGCGACAGGTGCGATGGGTAGTGCGACAGGTGCGATGGGTAGTGCGACAGGTGCGATGGGTAGTGCGACAGGTGCGATGGGTTACGCCGTCTTCATGGACAGTGGCGAAGCCGACTGCTCCAGCTTTTCGCATATGATCCTTAAGGTCTTGCCATGATGTGTATTTTGGCAAGCCGGTCACTATAACTTTATATTCGGACCTACAGTCATTACTACAAGAAGAACCAGGGGTTAAGGGTGAAGAAACTGTAGAGAGGGGTTAGGGGTGAAGAAACTGTAGAGAGGGGTTAGGGGAAGATGTTAAGGGGAGGGGGAAGTACCGTTGAGGGGGGGCGTTGTATTTATTCATCTCATTCAATTGCTTGAGTCTTTTTTGACCGGTAAATTCTATTTTTACTCGGACACCCAAGATTCGCGTTTCGTCACTCTGTGCTACCGCCTTCTCAGCACTCTCATAATCCGCGAATTCGGCGAACGCGTAAGAAGAACCGTTGCGTGTCCGACCGTACTTGACATCCACATCGCGAACCTTCCCAAACTAAAAAGAGCTACCATTCAAGGAGACTAGACTTATATTAGCTAACTATATTACTATACCCATAGCTAGCTCTTGTCCTCTATTCCTGCACTGTTTGTTACCTTTGATAGCTCGCTGGTCAAGTCCTCACTATTCACATCATCCGGCAAGTTCCCAACATAGACTCTATTCCGGTCTTTAGAGTCCATCCCCTTTTAAAAATAAAAGTACGACCATGGCCTCTTTCACCACAGCTGTCATCTCATCTGCTTTCGAAATAAGCTCTGCTCCTGCACGACCCAAGGCACGCGGTCACATTTTCGGTAGGCCCAAAACGCGCCCAAAATAGTGTGCACACACGTGTGCGAGCTGAAAAATGAGAGCTATTTTTCAACAGTAGTTAAAAGAAGATATCCACATGTCAGTTGAGGGCTGGACGAAGAAGCTGATAGAGTTGAAGCAGGAGCATTTGCTCGATGGCAAGAATAATGTAGAAAATATTGTGAAACAGTTGGATCGCGTAGAAGCGAATTATCCAGGTGGTGTAGAAGCGTACATATGTAATGCGCGTCGTTTATTGACCGACTCAAAGAATAGCGTTGACACGTTTGCAGGTTACAAGCCTTCAGTACCTCCTACGTTCGACATTGATCTACAGAGTGGGGATCCGGACTCGATTTTTGCCCTTGAATCTATCGGGCGTGAGTGTATTCCCAAGGTAGGGTTTGTGTTAGTGGCAGGTGGTTTAGGTGAACGATTAGGTTACCCGGACATCAAGTTGAAATTGTTTACGCAAGTAACGGAAGAGATGACATACATTGAGTATTATTGTCATTCGATAAAGACATGTCAAAATATTGCTGACAAATTGGTAACGACCTTTCAGAAGACGGACCCTGCGATCGTAGTACCGGAGAAGAAGGTGGACGGGGTGGACGGGGTTAAGAAGACGGTGTTGCCGTTATTTATTATGACGAGTGGGGACACCCATGAGAAGACGGTGGAGTTTCTGAAAGAGAAAGAGTATTTTGGATTGGCGAAGGAGCAAGTGTATATTCGGCAGCAAGAGAAGGTGCCGGCGTTGAGTGACTGTGATGCGCGGATTGCACTGAAGCCGGATGGTTCTGAGATCGAGACGAAGCCACATGGTCATGGTGACGTACATTTAATTCTTCATCAGAGTGGTGTGTTGGATGAGTGGCGGAGGCAGTATGGCACTGAGTGGTTATTTTTCTTCCAGGATACAAATTGTCTTGCTTTCAGAGCGTTGTATCCTATGTTGGGTATTGCTAAGCGTGAGGGTTTAACGATGAACTCATTAGCCATTCCACGTATGGCTAAAGAAGCTGTGGGTGCAATTTGTAAGTTGACAAAGGATGATGGAAATATCATGGTTCTAAATGTTGAGTACAACCAACTTGATGCTCTCCTTGCTGGTGACGGTGGTGACAGACCAGAGGCCAATGGCGTATCCAAGTATCCGGGTAATTGTAACATCATTGTGTTCCATGTACCAGAGTATGCTCAAGTTCTCAAAAAATCTGGAGGTCTTGTACCCGAATTTGTTAACCCAAAATATGCTGATGACTCCAAAGTTACTTTCAAATCACCTACTCGAGTTGAATGTATGATGCAAGATATACCACGCATGTTCGATGACAAACAGATTCATGGATGTACTGTCATGCCACGTTGGTTCTGTTTTAGCACGATAAAAAATTGCTGTTCAGATGCAGCTAAAAAAGTTACTCCTGAATGCGCATTCTCCGCTGAACAAGATCTTTATCATAACTCTATTCTATGCCTACAAATTGCAGCACCAAACATTCAGATGAACATACCTGACCCCATACCAGCCACTTATAACGGCGTCGTCTATCGTGAATATCCACGCGTATGGGTCTCACCTCAAGTCGCTGTCTCGCTCACCGACATGCGCCAAATACTACGCCACAAGTCACCCGCTCAAATCATACTCACTCACGACCACGTTTTCTATGTCACGCCTCAACACTCCTGCGAATCACTTCCAATGAGCAAACCTGTAGCTCTCACCCCGGAAGAATTAGCAAGCGATACCACTCCGGATAACTATAAGGTACGAGGATACAAGCCGGCACGTGTGTAGAGGAATATTTAATCCAGCCCGAGTGTGCACACTCCACACACACGTGTGTGTGCACACACGTGGCGACGTGAATGAAGAAGTACATCATTGAGAAAAGTACTATGCCACTAGTAGGACACTAATAGGCAATTATTATCACATTGGACATTGTTGTGTCTTGTGGGTATTTTTTGTGTAATAAAAAAAGCTGCGTCCCAGATGTCTCATCGCAAGTTCGAAGCACCTCGTCACGGTTCCTTGGCTTTCTTGCCTAAGAAGAGATGCCGTCGTGGACAGGGCCGTATCCAAGCCTTCCCCAAGGACGATGCCTCTAAGAAGCCTCATTTGACTGGCTTCGTGGGCTTCAAGGCCGGCATGACTCATGTTGTCCGTGAAATCAACAGACCCGGCTCCAAGCTCCACAAGAAGGATGTTGTTGAGTCATGCACTGTCATCGACTGCCCTGATATGGTTGCTATCGGTGTGGTGGGATACAAGGAAACCCAGACGGGCCTCCGCCCCGTCACTACCTGCTTTGCCGGCTACATGTCTGACGATGTCCGTCGCCGGTTCTACCGGAAGTGGTATTGCAGCAAGAAGCGCGCCTTCACCAAATACATGAAGTCCTTTGCTGAGACCAAGGGTGAAGACAGACTCAAGAAAATTGCGGAGGAATCGGCGGTTGTTCGACTGATTGTGCACTCTCAGCCCTCCAAGGTTCCTGGCCCTCAGAAGAAGGCACACGTCATGGAGATCCAAATCAACGGCGGCTCTGTCGCGGAAAAGGTAGAGTTCGCTAAGGGGTTGTTCGAGAAGACAATTCCTGTCAACACTGTATTCGCTGAGAACGAGATGATTGATACTATCACCATCACGAAGGGCAAGGGATTCCAGGGCGTCATTAAGCGATGGGGCGTCACCAGACTCCCCCGCAAGACCCATCGTGGCTTGAGGAAGGTCGCATGTATCGGTGCCTGGCACCCTGCCCGCGTGCAGTTCCAGGTCGCCCGCGCCGGTCAGATGGGTTACCACCACCGCACCCAGATGCACAAGAAGATCTACCGAATTGGCGCTGGCTCCGACCCCCGAAATGCCGGAACCAACTGCGACCTTACCGAGAAGGCCATCACCCCCATGGGAGGCTTCCCTGGCTACGGTGCTGTCGCCAACGACTTCCTTCTCATCAAGGGTGCCGTCGCTGGACCTCGACGACGCATGATTACGCTCCGAAAGACTCTCTTCACCCCCACCTCTCGTAAGGCTCTTGAGGCCTCAGACCTCAAGTTCATCGATACCTCTTCCAAGAGAGGACACGGCAAGTTCCAGACCTCCGGCGAGAAGGCCAGTTGGATGGGACCTCTCAAGAAGGACAAGAAGGTCGCTGCCGAGTAACTTTTTTTGCCCAACAACGTCGCTCCAACCTGTTTTGTCTTTACCACATACCACCTCAGATCTTTTGTATTCGCGGTCGGTAGATGTCTCATCGTAAGTTCGAAGCACCTCGTCACGGTTCCTTGGCTTTCTTGCCTAAGAAGAGATGCCGTCGTGGACAGGGCCGTATCCAAGCCTTCCCCAAGGACGACGCCTCTAAGAAGCCTCATTTGACTGGCTTCGCGGGCTTCAAGGCCGGCATGACTCATGTTGTCCGTGAAATCAACAGACCCGGCTCCAAGCTCCACAAGAAGGATGTTGTTGAGTCATGCACTGTCATCGACTGTCCCGACATGGTTGCCATTGGGGTGGTGGGATACAAGGAAACACAGACCGGTCTTCGCGCTGTTACGACTTGTTACGCTGGCTACCTGTCCGATGATGCCCGTCGTCGTCTGTATCGTAAGTGGTATTGCAGTAAGAAGCGTGCCTTCACGAAGTACATGAAGGCCTTTGCTGAGACCAAGGGCGAGGACAGACTCAAGAAGATTGCTGAGGAATCGGCGGTTGTTCGACTGATTGTGCACTCTCAGCCCTCCAAGGTTCCTGGCACTCAGAGGAAGGCGCATGTGATGGAGATTCAGATCAATGGCGGTTCAATCGCAGAGAAGGTAGAGTTCGCCAAGGGTTTGTTTGAGAAGACAATTCCTGTCAACACTGTATTCACTGAGAACGAGATGATTGATACTATCACCATCACGAAGGGCAAGGGATTCCAGGGCGTCATTAAGCGATGGGGCGTCACCAGACTCCCGCGCAAGACCCATCGTGGCTTGAGGAAGGTCGCATGTATCGGTGCCTGGCACCCTGCCCGTGTGCAGTTCCAGGTCGCTCGTGCCGGTCAACAAGGTTACCATCACCGCACCCAGATGCACAAAAAGGTTTATCGAATTGGCGCTGGCTCTGACCCTCGAAATGCCGGAACCAACTGCGACCTTACCGAGAAGGCCATCACCCCCATGGGGGGCTTCCCTGGTTACGGAACAGTGAAGAACGATTTCCTTCTCATCAAAGGTGCTGTGGCTGGACCTCGCCGACGTCTCATTACGCTCCGCAAGACTCTCTTCCCTCCCACCTCTCGTAAGGCTCTTGAGGCCTCTGACCTGAAGTTCATCGATACATCTTCCAAGAGAGGACATGGCAAGTTCCAGACTTCTGGCGAGAAGGCCAACTGGATGGGACCTCTCAAGAAAGACAAGAAGGTCGCCACGGAGTAACTTTTTTTACCGACGAAACACCGACCAATCTGATTCCGGGAATCGAACCAGCGAACTTCAGCTTCGGAGTCACAGAACTCCGGCTGTTCATTTCGGCTCCTGTTCTCACGGGTTGTCAACAGCGGTCGCTGGTGGTCAGAGAAGAGTGGTGTGGGAGGCTCTATAGTGGTGAAAAATTTGCATGTCATGTCATTGAAGGTGTTAGCGCAGTCGGTGAATTTTTCGGAGCTGTTGAACGTAAGGCTGACATTACAAACACGTGTGTGGGAATACACACACGCGTGTATTTCGTTGGGATCGAGTTTACGTGTATTAGGGATGTAATACTGAGTATGGCAAGGAGTTGCTAGCGTTGTTTCGGGACTTGCAGAATCCGTGGCCTCGGGGAAAGAAGTTGAAGTTTGATGCGTCTTTCGCAAGTTTATTACGACCAGCGCGTTTGTCGCGTCCGTCGATTGAGAATTTGTCGTTGAATATTTCGGAGCAGTTAATTGTATGGACGTTGATTCACACGGAGTCGCAATACGTGCGACTTTGCATTTTACGTTGGTGTGTTATTGTGGCCTCCGCGCGTCTGGCCTGCCGACATTTAAACGGCGCAGAAGTCTTTGGGCGTGTCATCCGTGACAACCTGTGCGTTGTGCGAAAGATTGTTCGCGGCAGTGGCGCGTTTGGTTGCCTCTGCGCGCACGAAGACACACCATCCGACACGGCACCTGGCGCGAGGGAGTTATGGGGAAAGACTCGCGCGGGAGATGAAGACGAAGGGGAGCTACTAAAGACCGACCCAGAATATGGACGGCAACCCGAAGGGGGTGGGGTGAAAATTGAGCCTCGGACGAAGGCGGGGACGAAGGCGGAAACGAAGGGAATTATTAGACTGTCTCCACCGGGAAGACTGCGGTTCGAAGTCTGTCCATGGGAAGTGGAGTTATCTTCGCGAGCAATGAGTACAGCGACGAGTACATTATGTGAAGAGGATCAGATGACGGTGGGGACGATTACGGGGAGGGAGCGTCTGATACCACGGTGGGTGGAAGCGTCGACTGTGTCAGAACCAGCGCCAGTGGCAATGTCGCCTGAAGAGATGTTGCGAGTATTGGAATTGCAAATGGCAGAGTTGAACATCAACTTTTGTGACCACTTGTACGCAAGTGTGCAACGTTCTGTGGGCTGGTCTATTACGACCTTGCCTCTTTTCTACGAAGCGGCGGCGGTTTGGCATGAACTGGCTGCGCCGGTTCCTGGACGAGTTTCTCGTGTACTGCTGTGCGCGCATACACGTGCTGTGCGCGCGTGTTCCGCGGACGCAGCACATGGTAGCACTCGCGAGGCCTCCCGCGCACGGGTCCTGCGGCGCACGGCGGCCCTCCTAAGACGAGCGGCGCCACAACTTGACCGCGAGACCGCGCTGGCGCCGGCCGAACGCTTCCGCGAACTCTGGCAACCGGGGCGACGCGTCACTCTGCGCGACGCACTCGCAACCGAACGACAGCCACGCGCGCGAGCCGCGAGTGACGGCACGTCACTGGACGCCTTCACGGTGTGTGCGTCGGAGGCGGCTGCGTTGGTACGGGAGTTGCGACTGGCTCTGACGAACCTGGTGGGCGGGGCGTCGCTCTTTCTGCAGGCATGGGTGGATGTGACGGCAGTGGACACCGTGGAGGCGGTGGACACCACATTGTCTGAGGACTTGGTCTGGCTGCGTCAGCGTTGGCAGGCACTGCCGGAAATCATAGAGATCTTCACACACATCGACCACATCCATGGGTGCACTAAACTCGCCGCTCATGTAAACCAAACAGTCAACAGTGAACCTAACTCCGACCGCTGCTACCACTGGTTGGTCTCAGTCCTCAGCATTTTGGCTCAAGACTCTGGCACTGAAAAAAAGACTGAAAGAATCAAAGGTATGGCTGCCGTCATATCTGGTACCACTGACCTTCAACAAAACAGGTCCATCTACTGGCTTAATATACACCCACTAGTCAAACACGTCATCGAACCTAATGTAAGCCCCCCCCCGACCGTGAGTTCACCACCGTGAGTGCCGTGAGTTATCCCCCACCGTGAGTTAATCCCCCACCTTAACCGTGAGGACATTGTAGAGAGCGGATTGGCGACAGGTACCAAGTATCCCGTTTGTGATTGACTCACAACACTTGGCGGTTTACCATCAGATCATGACTTCATTGGTGATGGAGTACGATGTGGGGCCACCTGAGTTCTGTGAGGCGTATGTAACATGTGTGCTGAATTCGTCATTGAATACAAAGCAGGTCTTGGATAAGATGCAGGTCTATCGCAGTCGACTTTTTATGCTCTGGGAGGAGTTCAAGGAGTACACTTTCTTTCATGAGTCATGTCGTCTCACACCCCAGATGCTTCAGTTTCGCGCACCCTACTTTGTACGTGAGTTCCTTGACATGTGTCCAGAAGACTTCCTCACCCGTCCTATAGACCAACTACAAGACCAACTACAACCACAAGACCAACCACAAGACACTGCCTCGCGTGAATTGTTTTACAAAGGGATAACGCACATCGTGCGCAACAAAGCTTTCTCACAGGAACTCTACAAACGACTGTTTCGGTCAGATCTTATGACCTCCCACCCACCCCGACGGTCACTGGCGCCGGCACCGACGAAGACCCGTTAACACAGACGGAGTCGATGTACGGATTGTCCATTGTACACACCGTGTTCACATGCGAGGTCCGAACCCACCATGCCTCGGTTCGAATCCAAGCTCCGGCCATTCCTCATTTTCGGGTGTTATCTAAAGATCATTTTCTCTTTTCGGGGGGGGGGGACCATGCAACGCAGCGCTGGAAGCCTAGCTAGCTGTCTGTCAACACAAAGCCACCGGGGTTT